TTGAGGAGCTCATCTCAAGTCAGAGCCCTAGTAATGCCAACTGAAGCAGAGTCATGAACTCCTGCCTCTCCTGTGGCTCACTCTTTCTGAGACAACAAAGCCCACACCAGCAAGCCTGGACTCTTTCTGATCAGGACTATTTGAGAATATCATTGTACTACTATGGTAATATTTTGCCTCCATTTGAGGGTTCATAAATAAATATGCATTTGGGATAAAGTGGCAAGAGGGAATAGTTCTTGAAAGGACTTAAAAAGTCACAAAGACTAAATGAACACTCATCTGAAGTGTTTTTTCCTTCTTTTTTTCTTGAGTTTTCATTAAATTCCTCACTGTCCTAGAGCTGACCACCACCAGCTGAGAAAGAACAGACAGCCTCTTCCTTGACCATCTTTCTGTATGCTTCCTTTTCCCCAACTTCCAATGCTTGATCAAAAGCTCAGAGTTACTTCAAAGGGCAAGGTCAGCTCAGCAGGGGAGCTTTACATGCCTTAAAAAGGGAAAGAACAGTTATGTCACAAATAGTTATTCTTCTTTTCTGACTTTCAGTTATTGTCCTGGTCCTGCTCTTTGCCTTAGCCTACCTGCTCAAATGGTCACCAGCAAATGAAAAAATGAACAAAACAAGTGAACTAAATGAGCAGCCAGAGTGAGCTGCAGTGATTAGGAGGTAGAGTTAAAATGACTTTGAGCCATGGAAGTGATTCCTAGTCATTCTTCAGACTTCAAACTCAAACATGTTTCTCAAGTAACAGGTTGAACTCACAGTAGTTTGGTAGTTCAAATCCCTTATTTTGTTCTCTCATAGCACTTTATTTCTTCCAGAGCACATCAAATTTTTAAGTACATTTTGTCTATTTGTTGACATTCATACCTCCCTTTCTGCATCATATCCTCATCCAGGAAGGGGATGACCTTTGTTTTGTCTGCCACTGAGTCCTCAACACCCAGGCCATCTTAGTATATCTGGGTACTTGTTAAATATTTTTTTAAAAATCTTTCCAATTTCATTTTCTTGCCTTGTATGTGAATTTACACTTTCATTTCCTAAATCCATTTGTCAAGGAATCTCATAAAAAAAGAGCCTATGGGACAGACAGGTAAACTTCAAAAATTGTGTTTGTGAGTATGTATGTCCATTGCAAAAAAATAAAGTACTAGAAATAAACACTATAAGAAACTCATTTAAAAGTTTATTAAATGCTACAAATGAAGGTGAGAGTATTAGTAATATTTTGGGAGGTTTATTCATCATTCCTGATTAAAAAATAAGTAAAATTCATAACAGTGACTAGAGAAAAGATAGCAACTATTCTCATAAAACTATTCTCATATTGTATAACCCTCACGTTTCTCCTTATTTACTATATCCTTTTAATAAGTACCATAAGTTAGTAAAGGTAGACTTTACTATTCCCCTCATGTGCCCAATGTCAACTAGGTTTGATACCTGGTAAGATTAAAATATGGAACTCAGTCTTTAGGTAAGAATGCTCACTTTTCCATATATAAAATCAAATACATCTCAAAAATAAAATCAGCATTCATATGTAACAGAGTATATTCATTCAGGTGACTGAGTATTATACTCTGTGTGGGAAATTGTATTTAAAAATATAAAGAATAAAGTTACTAGATATAACATCAATATAAAAAATCAATTTTCTCTCTTTCTACTAGCAATAGTTAGAAAAAAATTTGTGACTGAAACTGGTTAGAAAACTATATACTTTAATTGTGAGATATTAAAAAAGACATAAGTGGAGAGTTCTTTCATGTTCATAGAAAATAAATATAACTCTAACTTCATCTATTCTAGAGTAGACGAAATTGCAGTTAAAATACCACAGGGCTGAACCTCAGTAGTAAAACATATGAGAGGCCCTGGGTTTGATCCTCAGCATTGCAAACAAAACATAGGACTGACATACATGGTGGTGTATGCCTGTAATCCCAGCAGCTAGGGAGGCTGAGACAGGATTGTGAGTTCAAAGCCAGCCTCAGCAAGGCAAGGTGCTAAGCAACTCAGTGAGACCCTGTCTCTAAATAAAATACAAAATAGGGCTGGGGATGTGACTCAGTGGTCTAGTGCCCCTTAGTTCAATCCCCAGTACCAAAAAGAAAGAACCAAAAATGAAGAAAAAGAACAAAGGTAGGGGACACACACTGTCAGGTACCAAGACTCATTATGTAATTCCAGAGTAATTAAGACATTATGGCACTGGTACAGAGACAAATAAATAGACCAATGGAAACAGAGTGCCAGAATCACACCCTCACATAAAGGACTTGAGATATGACAATGCAGATTACAAGGAGAAAGGATTGACTTTTCAATAAGCAGTGCTGGAATAGTGCCTACTTATTCCACAACAGATCACTGTTTTGATATAAAAAAGTAATTTCAAATGAATTATCAATATATTAAAATGATAAAAATTTCTAGAAGGAAAATATTTTTGATACTTCAGAGTATAAAAATAATATGGTTCATAGGGCTGGGGATATAGTTCAGTGGTAGGCACTTGCCTAATATGCACGAGGACCTGAACTCAATCCCTAGTATCATGAGGGGAAAAGGGTGGGGGACATAATTCAAAAAAGGAAAATTTGATAAATTCCAACTGTAATAACTGTGTCTAACTTTAATGATAATGAAAGACACATCACAAACCTGAAGATATTTGTAACACATGAAATTGGAAAAGAATATCTAAAATCTGTCAAGAATCAAATGAAAGAAAGATAAAGCAGTACAAAGAGGTGAATAAGGATTTCACAGAAATGTTTTAAATTTCCTGGTTGTGTTGTCATAGAAAAAAAATATGAATGGCCAATAACAATTGGAAAAGATATTAATAAGGAAAATGAAAGTCATCATCACAGTTATATATCATTTCATATTCTCCAGACTGGCAAAAATTAAAACTCAAGGGGAAGCTGTGAAATGGCAGAAGCCCTCACTCCCTTGTCTTTCAGTGCAAGATGAAAAATGTGTGCTTTATGACCCAGCCATTCTTGTGGGGTTCTGTGGGTTACCCACCTGTTAACTGATAAATGTATAGATTTTTTTTAATGTGCAGATTTTTTTTAAGTAATCTTACTATGCTGTGTGATAAGACCTGCATTTCAAAACTCTAATAGATAATTATGAACATTTACTCACTACATTGAGAATTTCTTAGTTCTCATATGGAAGCAGGAAAACATACTAACTAATCTCCTATTACTGGCTATCTAGATTGTTAAAGATCCCCCACACCCTACCCCTGAGACTAGGAATTGAACCCAGGGGAGATTTACCACTGAGCTATACCCCCACCTCTTTTATTTTTCATTTTAAGAAGGGTCTAAGTAGCCCATGCTGGCCTCAAACTTGCAATCCACCTGCCTCAGCTTCCCAAATTGCTGGGATTATAGGCATGTACTACACCCAGCTAGAATATTGACAATCCTTTGCTAGTATATATAAAAATGTGATAAATGCATTTGTTAGAAAACTTTGTAAACATCTCTAATCATTTAAGATAAATCCTTAAAACTAGTTTAAAGATGGGTATGCTTAATACAAATATTTTAAGTTATGTTTTGCCAAGCTGTCCTACAGAAAATACTATTAACTTATACAACAACATGTACTTTCCTCCTACCACCTTCCCAACACTGGATAAAAACAACTTTTGCCAAATGTGTACGTGAAAACTGGTTCACTGAATTTTTAATTTGTACTGATTTAAGAAATAGCAAGGCTAGACAGTTTGATTATTGTTCACTTAGTTTTTACATAGTTAACTTGCTCAATCCTCTGCCCATTTTTCTACTAAAGTGTTTAAATTTTCTTAACAAAGTTCTTAATATATTCAGGATATTAAACCTTTCTATTCTAGGCATATTAAGCTTTATCATTTATCCTAAACTTGTTAGTTCAACTAAAGTTTTCAATTTTTACATAGTGAAAGCAATTTTTTTCTTTATGGTTCATTCTAATATAATTCTTAATGTCTAGAGAAGCTGAAGCAGGAGGATCACAAGTTCAAAGCCAACCTTGGCAACTTAGCAAGGCCCTGTGCAACTTAGTGAGACCCTGTCTTAAAATTAAAAAATTAAAATTAAAAATGGGCTGGGGCTGGGGCTCAGTTGTTGAGCATCTCTGGGTTTAATCCCCAGTACTACTACTACTACTACTACTACTACTACTACTAATAATAATAATAATAATAATAATAATTAGTAGTAGTAGTGGTGGTAGTAGTAGTAATAGGAGTAACAGCTCCTTTCCCAAAGGATCATTGTGAACATAAATTAATATAACATACACTAACACATTTAATAAACAGAGTAAAGCAACACATAAAAATCAATTTTTGTAGTCACTAACTAAATCATAGTTATTTACACTATATACCTACAGGCCACAGATTTTATAATTATAGATACCAAAGCAGATACACTTGGGGATTAATAAGAATCTGGAAAAAATCACACACAGTATAGGAAGCAGATACAATAATACAAAACTACATTTCCCAGGATCAGAACAGTCACAAGAAAGGCCACAAGCAAAGCAGGCTGTCTTACCTCATTCTTCCCCTTCCTCTGCCAGTTCTGTTTCTTTGTGCACTACCACTCTTGTGACTGACATGTCAGGGTGCTGCTCTTTGGCTTCCCTGATTGCCTGAGCCAATGCCTGCCAAGGTCAGAAGAGAAAACAGTCATGAGCGGCTCCACCTCAGGATGATAAAACTCATGCATGTTCATCAACTGGAACTGCGATACAAGCTAAAATAGTCTTATTTCTTTAAAAAAGCAGGAAGATTCAAACTGAGATCACTGTTCATTTTATATGAATATGCTTCTCGTATTTCCAAACTTCCCATTCCTCTAGTCCACTTTGTAATGACAGGATGTGTAGGAGAAACATGGTATCTTTAACTCCCAGGCTTGTACTCACTAGGAGATTTTGAGAAAATGGCTCTTCTCTGAACTTTTGTATTTTTACCAGTAACCTGAGAATAATGCTAAGGTTGTAAAGATTATTTTAAGGTTTGTTGTATGAATTTAAGAAATGATGTCAAGCAGCTAGAATAGTGCCTTATCTATACACTAAAGTGATAATTACTGGAAACTCCAAAGTATGGAACCAGGCCTGCTTATCTTGGACCTCTCAGACACCTATGAACTAAAATGTTCACTGAACTAAGATGCTGCAGGGAAAGTATCTATAAACTTAATCACATATAATTAGTTAAGCTACAGAACAGATAGACTAATTTTTAGATTATCAAGTGCAAGTCCCTCTTTTGTAGGTGAAAAATCTTAAGGCCTGAAGATTAATGGATCTTTCTCAAGGCCATATAAAAATGTGATAAATGCATTTGAAAAGAAAGAGAGGACTGGGAATGGCAGGGAAAGAGAGGACTGGGAATGCTGACTCCAGTGGTTGATGGTCTCTTCCTGAACTAGGCAATGACAAAGCAGTTTCTTTATGCTTATCAGAAAGTAAAGTTTATTTAAAAAAAAAAAGTTGTGGCAATAGGGAAACATCCTGTTTTTCGGAGGGATAATACATTTTTCTTAATTATTGCTAGTTTTAATTATAAAGAGGTTCTGGGAGAGAGTAAAAGAAAACAAAACACCACAGAATGACAAACTCTTGGAAATAATCCTGAAAGAAGAAAAGAAATTTTCCTAGGACAGAAAACAGCTTATCTCAAAGAAAATACGCACTTGAAAAAAAGCAGTGCAAGTTTTCCTTCTGTTTTGCCACTTGCCTAAATAGCACTTCTGTTTGCATTATTGTTCCTGTCAGCTGTGAGGTTACTAAGTAAAACCCTATACTTCACTTCATTAAAAAACGGTAAAGCTACAAAACAAAATAGGGAGAAAGAAAAAACTGCCCCAATCGCTTTCAAATACATTTGAAATCAAGTTTGTCATAATTCCTTTCATTTCATAATGTAAGCATAAGAACTTAAATACTATAAAACATTATTATGACAACAATAGGGACCAAGAGACAACTAGCACATCGTACTGCCAAAATGAGAATTTTATTAGAAATATACTCTGAAGAGCAACCACAGTTTAGTTCATCCCTCCCTGGTATGGATCTGAAAGTATCCTGACAAACCAGGTTTCCTAAAACATGCCTCTCCAATTTGCTAACAAGACATTTGTTTCTCTGAGATGAAGACTTCTATCCATTAGTAAAATTCCTTTTAATGTAGACAAGGAACTCAAAAGGGTTCTAATGGTATTAAAATTAATACAAGATCAACATCAGTTTTCAACAGCGGAGCTTATTACTCATTTAAAAATAGCTTCATAGAACATACTGCCTGACCTAAAATGCAGACCACAGTTGTGCCTCTGGATCTGATCATGCAATGGAAACATGTCATAAAAGGCCAGGTACTCCAGGGGTTAGAAACACTACACTAGGCAAAGAACTTGCATCAAGATCAGGAATGAAATACATTAATGTGGATAATTTAGCTCTAGAAGGTTGATCACCAGATATCATGGAGTCTGGCAAGATGTCTCCCAAGAATATGCTGAAAGATGCACAGATGATGGCACAAATCCTGAAGGATATGGGGATTACAGAAGATGAGCCAAGAGTTATAAATCAGATGTTGGAATTTGCCTTCCGGTAAGTGACCACAATTCTAGATAATGCTAAACTTTGTTCCAGATATGCTAAGAAATCTACTGTTGATGTAGATGATGTGAAATTGGAAATCCAGTGTCAAGATGACCAGTCTTTTATGTCTCCTCTCCCAAGAGACTTTTTTTTATTAGATATTGCAAGGCAAAGAAATCAAATACCTTTGCCACGGGTCAAACCAAGGTCCTAAACTGTCTCCTGATAGATAGTACTTAATAGCTCCAAACTATAGGTTCAAGTCTTTACAAAAAAAAAAAGAAAGAAAGAAAGAAAAAAAAAACACAAAGCATATATTTCTGCAGGAAGAGTAACAGTTCCACAATTAAGTGTTACTAGCAGACCAAGTACTCCCGTATGAGCACACCAACCCCCAAAACCAGGTTTGTTTCAACTAAAGTAGAGACTCCAATGTTGCTAACAGGGCAGAGGTTGACAGTACAGATGTCTGCTTCACAGTCCCCTGCTATAAAAGTCTCAAGACCCTGCAACATCAGCAGTTCAGAATGTTCTGATTGATCCACCATTAATTGGGTCCAAAAACACAGAATAAGATATTACCACTAACATG